ACAAAGGAGGAGACAGCTGAGCTCAGCCCACCTTCCAGTGTGGCGGATGAGTAACCCAGGGCGAGAAACGTTCACAGATGGTCATGCGGGCTGTGACGTGGCCTGAACTCCTAGGGAGCACCTGCAGAAGTGCTCCCAGATCCGCGGCTGAAGGGTGCAGGGGAGAAACCAAGTGCAAAGGATGTTGGGGAGGCCCCGCTGGAAGGGGGAGCAGGTGCATAGGCCCTGCATCCAGAAGCAACTGGGGCCGGAGAAATTGAGAGGAGGGCAGGGTTTGAGGGGGAGGCTTGGAGGCTGGGAGCCCTGAGCCTTGAACTCCTGGGCTCAAGCAATCCTCCCACCTCAGCCTTCCAAAGTATTGAGATTACAGGTGTAGGTCACTGCACCCAGACTAAATAAAATTATTATTATTATTATTATTATTTGAACCTAAACTAGGTGCCAGGGCAACCAAGAGCACTTTGTTTTTGTGCTGTGGGCAATGGGGAGCCATGGGAGGTATTAGAGCAGGGGAGGGCCATGATCGGTTTTAATTCACTAGGAGAAAGGAGGCAGAGGCAGGAATGGGAGCTGGAAGGTCAGCAAGGAGTCTGGGGCCTTGGCCTGGGGCATCAGTTGGGGGGAGGACAAAAGTGGGGGTGATTTTGAGAGGAGACTTGGGAGTTGAGATTCAAAGGGTGTGATGGGGGGAAAGGAGGAGAAGACAGGGAAGACCAGAGCCAGGAGAGAAGAGAGACCCCAGGGATGGGGCTGAGGAGGGAGCGCTGTCCGCAGCTTGGACGAGGCTCAGCCAGGTTGGCCGCAGCACCCAGAGAAAACCTGGGGGCTTGGGCCCTGTGGGTTTCTGGGGGCTGCTACTGTCAAGGGTAGAGGCCAGACCCCGCCCTGTGCTCATCTGGCCCAGCCCTCTGTTCTCCAGATGGGGAAACTGAGGCCCGGGTTGGCAGTCCTTATCTTGCCAGCTCCATAACCCCTGCTCCAGGGGACAGCTCGGAACCTCGATTTCCAGTCTGTGCCTTGAGGCTGTGGGGGAAGCTAGCAGAGGACCCTGGCCCCTCCCTCCCACTGCAGCTGCAGAACAGGGCTAGAAGGACTGGACTGCATGGGTCGTGGGGTTCAGTCAGGACCATGGGGTGGCCACGAAGTGCCCCGCAGGGGGTGACAGACCCCCCCCCCAGTGCCCGGCCCACCCTTCACCTCCCCCAGCAGTCAGCCCTGCAGGGCTGGGCCCCTCCTGACCATGGCTGTGGTCTCTGCTCCAACTGGGTCTCCCAGGAGCCCTCCTCCTCTAGACCCAGCTGGAATCCATCCCCGGGCCATTCACATGAAAAGTCCAGAACAGGCAAATCCCCAGAGACGGAGAGAGTGTACTAGTGGCCCCCGGGGGCTGGGGAGGTGGGGAGAGGCGGTGACTGCTGATGGGACAGGCTTGCTTTCCCAGGGGATGAGAATGTTGCAGAATTGGATTAGAGGCAAAGGTTGCACAACTTTACATGTGCTAAAAAAACCATTGAATTTTAGACGAAGTGGGTGAATTACGGTGTTGAGTTTTTTTTTTTTTGTTTTGTCTTGTTTTTTGAGGCGTCTGCCTATGTTGCCCAGGCTGGAGTGCAATGGTGCAATCTCGGCTCACTGCAACCTCAGCTACCTGAGCTCAAGCGATTCTCCTGCCTCAGCCTCCCTAGCAGCTGGGATTACAGGCACCTGCCACCACGCCAGGCTAATTTTGTATTTTTAGTGGAGATGGGGTTTCAGTGTTGGCCAGGCTGGTCTCAAACTCCTGACCTCAGGTGATCCTCCCACCTCGGCCTCCCAAAGTGCTGGGATTACGAGAGTGAGCCACCGCGCCCGGCCAGGTGCTGAGTTTTATCACAGTAAAACGGTTATCCGAAAAAATAAAATGCTGCCTGGGTTCCCTGTTGCCTTTGGGGTGCAGCCCCCTCCCCCGTCGTGGTCGAGTGTGTCCCCAACACGGTGCTTACTCTCGCGCTCCAGCCTCTCGGTGTGCGGGTACCATAACCTTCCTTCCCCTCCTCACGCCTTCTCCCACGCAGGATCCTGGGGCAGGGCAGGGAACCCTCCCGTCCTGAGCGCCATCTCTCTGGCCTCCAACCCGCTCCGCTTCCAAAACCCGCCCCTCCAGACCTCAAGCCCCGCGTTTCCAGGCCCAGACTTGGCCCCAGACACAAGCTCCACCCCGACCTCCAGTTCATAAGCCCCGCCCCTCTGGGCAAAAGCTCCGCCCCCCAGGCCGTAAGTCTCTGCCTTCCAGGCCTCAGACCTCACCCGATACGCAAGCCCCGCCCCTTCTGGGAACCTCCCCCATGCCCCGGCCCTCCAGGCCTCAAACCTCGACCCAGACGAGGCCCCGCCCCTTCAGATTCCAAGCTCCGCCCTCCAAGTCCACGGCTCCGCCTCCAAATTATAAACCCCCATTCCCAGACCCCCAAGTCTCGCCCCCTCCAGGCCTCAAGTCCCGCCCCCTCAGGCGACGTCATCGGTTTCTTTGTTGCTGGGTTTCGTCGCTGCACTGCGCTACCAGCCTGTAGCTCACCTGGCTGCCCTTGGATCCCGCTTGGATCCAGAAGCTGAGGCACACAGTAGCCTGGACACAGCTGGGATTTCAGTCCAGGCTGGCCTCCTTAACCACCAGGCTTCGCTGTCCT